CTATGGACACTCCTACGTGTCTATAGTCTTCAACTCGTATATATAGACCCTCAGGCGCGTCGTCATCTCGTATATAATTAGACCCGTAGGCGCGGCTTTAACTCGTATATAGACCCGTAGGCGCGGCTTTAAAACGTGCGTAGACCCGACGAGTAGAAGCCTATGGACACTCCTACGTGTCTATAGTCTTCAACTCGTATATATAGACCCTCAGGCGCGTCGTCATCTCGTATATAATTAGACCCGTAGGCGCGGCTTTAACTCGTATATAGACCCGTAGGCGCGGCTTTAAAACGTGCGTAGACCCGACGAGTAGAAGCCTATGGACACTCCTACGTGTCTATAGTCTTCAACTCGTATATATAGACCCTCAGGCGCGTCGTCATCTCGTATATAATTAGACCCGTAGGCGCGGCTTTAACTCGTATATAGACCCGTAGGCGCGGCTTTAAAACGTGCGTAGACCCGACGAGTAGAAGCCTATGGACGCTCCTACGTGTCTATAGTCTTCAACTCGTATATATAGACCCTCAGGCGCGTCGTCATCTCGTATATAATTAGACCCGTAGGCGCGGCTTTAACTCGTATATAGACCCGTAGGCGCGGCTTTAAAACGTGCGTAGACCCGACGAGTAGAAGCCTATGGACACTCCTACGTGTCTATAGTCTTCAACTCGTATATATAGACCCTCAGGCGCGTCGTCATCTCGTATATAATTAGACCCGTAGGCGCGGCTTTAACTCGTATATAGACCCGTAGGCGCGGCTTTAAAACGTGCGTAGACCCGACGAGTAGAAGCCTATGGACGCTCCTACGTGTCTATAGTCTTCAACTCGTATATATAGACCCTCAGGCGCGTCGTCATCTCGTATATAGTTAGACCCGTAGGCGCGGCTTTAACTCGTATATAGACCCGTAGGCGCGGCTTTAAAACGCATATAGACCCGGCGGGATGAAGCCTATAGACGCTCGTACGTGTCTCCTACGCAGGCGCGTCTTCATTTCGTATATAATTAGACCCGTAGGCACGGCTTCAAAACGTATATAGACCCGGCGAGTTGAAGCCTATTGACGCTCATACGTGTCTATAGGCTTTCTACTGAATTTGAGATAGGTCCGTCAGCCAACGTCACATCGAATGTTGTTGAAAAGGATTGTGTTGCGACGTGCTGCAGTAACGTCGTTCCCAGCGAGTCCACTTCTTGGTCGTCCTCATAAGAGGCGTCGTCGGACTGTGGAACTCCACCGCAGTCTTCAAACTGCAACAAACATTACAGCATCTAACCAATCCCACGGCGACCGGTTCTATGTACCGGATTGACTCGGAGGCATATTTCTCCGATCAGGGGCCGCCAACCCAGCAAATACATGTTCGTGTTCGTCCATTTTTCTGATGTGGGAGCAACATTACCCGGAATGTTTGCTCCGTATTCTCTTGGTCCGATCCGGGATCGAGACCAACCCCGGACCATGGTTCTGCTCCGTTTGTCGTAATCGCATCCACCACAGATCTGTTTCGGTGAGATGCAACGGATGCATGGAGTGGGTGCATTTCCGGAATTGTGCCGGCCTAAACCGGATACAGGAGTATAGCGATAGGGACTACATTGCTTCCTGCTGCGTCAATGTAGACCCCATGAGTCTTCATCTTCGGCGTCCTCATCGTCGTCGCAATATGAGACTCCCCCGCTATCTCCTCAACAGCAATCTACGCAGCAGTTGACGCCACACATTGCTGTTCAGGTTCCGGATAATGCATCATTTCTCCAATTTAATTGTGATGGTCTCAGGGGTAAGATCAAAGAAATTGTAAACTTTATGAGTCGGAAGAACATCAAGGTCGCAGCGATCCAGGAAACGAAGCTGAGTACCACCTGCAGGCTTCAAAGTTGTGATGGATACAACGTACCGAGGAAGGATCGCTCCAGAGGTGGAGGATTAGCGTTCCTATTGCACCACTCTGTCCAGTACAGACCTATCTCGCCTGAGCTTGACTCTAGTGACCCGTACATGGAATGTATGGGGGTAGCGGTCAAGTGTGGAACCGCCGAGGTAGAGGTGCGCAACGTGTACATTCCGCCGTTAAATAGCTGTGCCCCACGTTATATGCCTAATATCAGTTCACTACTGGTAGGCAATAACCGTCTGGTGCTAGGGGATTTCAATGCCCATCATGAATTATGGCATTCCGTCCTAGGTAATGACCAGAGAGGCATGGCGCTGGCTGAGCAAATTGATAGCTCCACGTTTTGCACAGTGAATGAGGACGCGCCCACCAGAATAAGGGGAGACTGCCACAGTTCTCCGGACATATCCATCGTGTCCCCAGGTCTGACGACTGACGTAACTTGGCAATCAGTCATTTCTCTAGGCTCAGACCACCTCCCCATTATTATCGCCATCAACAGACCAACCGACTTCATTGGCTCTGAACGCCGCACTTTCCTTATCCACGGGAAAGCTAATTGGCAAGAATTCAGAGAGTATACCAATCGCCGCTTCAGAGAACTGCCCAACCCATCTGATGTTCAGGTAGCGGATAGGTGTTTCCGGGACATCATCAAAGCTGCAGCCGCTCGCTATATACCTGCTGGTCGAATACCTGAAATAAGACCAAATTTCCCAGCAGAGGCAGCGGGATTAGCAAACGAGCGAGATGAGCTTCACCGTACTAACCCTAATAACCCCAGAGTCAGGGAACTTACTCTGGAGGTAAACAGGTTAGTAGGTGAGCATAAGCGGAAAAAGTGGTTAGAACATCTGAAGCATTGCAACATCGGTACCGGAACGAGTAAATTGTGGGCAACGGTTAAGTCGCTCTCGAACCCTGGGAAAAAGGACGATCGGACATCTGTCTCATTCAATGGCGTAGAAATGACAGATCCGAAGAGGTGCGCGTGTTATTTTAACCGGCATTTGTAGAGCACCCCGAGAGTGACAGGGCGAAGAGAAGGATACTACGCCGTGTACGATCCCTTCCAGCCGAGGAGGTACCACCACAATTTACGTTGGCAGATGTTGCACAGGTCATCAGAAGCGCAAAGTCATCCAAAGCGCTTGGTCCTGACGGAATCTCAATGGTGATGTTGAAGCAACTGGATGAACCAGGAGTTGAGTATCTTACAAAGCATCTCAATCTGTCGTTAGCCACCCTAGTAGTTCCCGATGCCTGCAAAATGGGCAGGGTGGTCCCGCTACTGAAGCCAGGCAAGGTTGCCAGCAAAAGTGATTCATACAGGCCGATATCACTTTTGTCACCAGTATCAAAGACGCTTGAGGAGTTACTCCTCCCCAGCATAAGAGAGTGTTTCCCAGTAGCCGATCATCAACACGGATTCCGGAAATTGCATAGCACAACAACAGCTTTACACGCCATTTCCACACATGTCACTAGAAGTCTCAACCAGAACAGGCCGTGCGATAGAACAGTTATGGTGGCACTTGATTTATCAAAGGCCTTTGATACAGTCAATCATGCCACACTGTTCGAGGACATTGAGCGCACCACCCTCCGGCCAAGTTTGAAACGTTGGATAGTAAACTACATGTGTGGACGCCAGTCGTACGTGGAATTCAGAAACAAGAAGTCGAGCATCCGTAGAGTTAAACAGGGAGTTGCCCAAGGTGGGGTGATATCTCCGGAACTGTTTAACCTCCACCTTTCTGACATTCCACGCCCTCCAGACGGCATAGAGAAGTAGGAACAAGGTCCTCAAGTCTCTGGCCGGCAGTACTTGGGGAGCTGATAAGGAAACCTTGTTGACCTCTTACAACGCGATAGGCCGGTCTGTGGTAAACTATGCGGCTCCGGTGTGGTCCGCCAACGTCAGTGCTACGCAGTGGAAAATGTGCAGTCCTGTCAGAATGCCGCCCTTAGAACCGCAACAGGGTGCCTTCTCATGACACCTGTCGATCACCTACATAAGGAGGCGAAGGTCTTACCGGTGCGACAGCATAACAAAATGCTGTCAATGCAATACCTGCTTGGGTGTTATAGACAAAGCCATCCAAATCACCATCTTGTGGATAGGCAACCTCCGCCCAGGCACGTTAGGAAAGACCTTCATGATCTAGAGAGAGAGGTACAGAGGTATAAGAGAGAACCTCTAGATCAACAGGCCTATCAAGCGGGACTGAATAGTACTCACTCTAATGCGGTCTCAGAAGCCATTGAAGGATATAGAGTGAATACTGTGCTAGGAGACCATCCCCCTCCCGTCGCAGCTGAAGAACGAGAGCTGCCCCGACAAACCCGAGTAGTCTTGGCTCAATTACGATCCGGATGGTGCAGCCGCCTAAATTCCTACTGGGCCCGGATTAACGGCGACGTGCAGAACATCTGTCCAGCCAAGCCTACTCACCTAACTCCAGTCTCGTTATGGACACAACCCATACAGGTCTACACCACCTCCCCTACCTAAAGCTTGGAGATCATTTTGGCAAAGCCTATAACAGTTTTATTGTAAACCTCACCCATAAGCCACTTTTCTGTTACTACTAATACTTGGAATACATTGCTCTTTAAAATATGTCTCAATTTATCGAGCTTTATTTTAGGCTTTATGCTCCTGCAATTTAAATGAGCTACTATTCAGCTATTATGATACGGACACAATACCGATTGGTAAGCCATTGGAAAACTTAGATAAACAGTTGATATTGTATGAAATCGTACCCTTTTTACAACAGATATAAAATCCTGACCGACAATTATGGCCATTATTGGTGAGTCAAAATTTCCAGAAAATTTAAATTTTCTCTCTTAGATCCCAAAATATATCCTCCATTTATTGCTTTGGTCATCTTCAAAAACATACATGAAACATTCATGTTTATTGCTGTGATAAACGTCCAAAAATATATTATTAGAATCCACGTTTATTACTTGTTAGGCCACTAAAAATAATCCCTAAGGGTACACGTTCATTTCTTAGATAGCCCCCATAAATGTTATTTTAAAAATATATTTATTTATTTTATATTATTTTACATGTATTGTTTACGAACAACACGGTAACCCTGTATTCCAATTGCCTATCACACTGAACATACCCTATCAAATTATATTTGACAATTCATATTTGTGAAAATTTAAAACTGAACCGGCAGCAGCAAAAACTCGGAAGGAAGAAAATCGGGGTATGTACATCAAATCATTTCAAATTTCCTTAAAATAATAAAGCGCCAAACCTCCAAAACTTCAGCAACGTGCAATAACCGCGAAAAAACAACAAAAACCATCAATTTCAAAACGCAATAAAAGTCAATGGCTGGAACAATTTTAAAAGCAGAAAAACAAGGAATGACGTTTTTAATACATTTTTTCAATCAACGAAACAGGAAAATTCGGCGTTTTTGTTCTAAACGAAAGCTTTAGACCGATGGTCCAAGGAGGAACATGAAACAATACGTAGAAGTTACAAAACATTTGGCTGCGCAACATCCTTTGGAGGATGAAGTTTTTGCATCCTTGGCTAATGTTGTGGGCGAAAAAGAAATTATGATGTTGGAAAATGCCATGGCCTCCTCCATTGTTTGATGGCTTCCAAATTTCTGCACAATTATGCAAAGACTGTTCGTCGTAATATTTGTGAAAAGACAATTGTCATTAAAAAGAAATGTTTCGGAAAAAATGAATTTTCCAATACTGCTGGGTAAGCTATTGGAAAACCTGGATAAATAATAGGTGTTGGATGAAATCAGACACCAGAAACAAAATCGCGAACCGGCAATAATAGCCATTTTTGGTGAGTTCAAGTTCCCAGAAAATTAAAATATTTTGACAGAATTTTGTTTGTTCTTTCTTGACAGGAATCTATTGAATTGCCAAGGCCAATACAATATTTGCGATATGCAAGGATGTCATTGCCCACAAATCGCTACCATTTTTAATACCATGAAAATTGCTTAACCATTGCTCAATTCAATACATTTGTTGCCTTGATCAAGGAAATGTTTGACCGGGGCGAAACAGAACAAAGGGAAAATTGGAACAATTATCCACAATACAAAAATATAACAAATGAGTTTATAATGACTTTTTATTGGGTGTACAATGTGTGTGTGTGTGCCTTTGTGAATCAGAGGATTCAGGGTTCAAGATCTAATGGGATTAACATAGAAACCCAACAACATAATATCGCACAGAAGAAAATCACAATCATGAAAATTTTACATCAAACGAAAAACATGCATCGTCTATATCTAGACCAGCTAGCCTGGCTTCAACTCGTCGATATCAAGACCAACTGGTGTGGCGACGTCAACTCGTATATAAATACATCCGTAGGAGCGCCTTCATCTCGTATATAATTAGACCCTTAGGCGCGACTTTATCTCGTATATAGATCCGTAGGCGCGGCTTTATCTTGTATATAGACCCGTAGGCGCGGCTTTAAAACGTGCGTCGACCCGACGTGTAGAAGCCTGTAGACGCTCCTACGTGTAGACCCGCAGGCGCGTCGTCATCTCGCATATAATTAGACCCGTAAGCGCGGCTTTAACTCGTATATAGACCCGTAGGCGCGGCTTTAGAACGTGCGTAGACCCGACGAGTAGAAGCCTATGGACACTCCTACTTGTCTATAGTCTTCAACTCGTATATATAGACCCTCAGGCGCGTCGTCATCTCGTATATAATTAGACCCGTAGGCGCGGCTTTAACTCGTATATAGACCCGTAGGCGCGGCTTTAAAACGTGCGTAGACCCGACGAGTAGAAGCCTATGGACACTCCTACGTGTCTATAGTCTTCAACTCGTATATATAGACCCTCAGGCGCGTCGTCATCTCGTATATAATTAGACCCGTAGGCGCGGCTTTAACTCGTATATAGACCCGTAGGCGCGGCTTTAACTCGCATATAGACCCGTAGGCTCGGATTTAAAACGTGCGTAGACCCGACGAGTAGAAGCCTATGGACACTCCTACGTGTCTATAGTCTTCAACTCGTATATATAGACCCTCAGGCGCGTCGTCATCTCGTATATAATTAGACCCGTAGGCGCGGCTTTAACTCGTATATAGACCCGTAGGCGCGGCTTTAACTCGCATATAGACCCGTAGGCTCGGATTTAAAACGTGCGTAGACCCGACGAGTAGAAGCCTATGGACACTCCTACGTGTCTATAGTCTTCAACTCGTATATATAGACCCTCAGGCGCGTCGTCATCTCGTATATAATTAGACCCGTAGGCGCGGCTTTAACTCGCATATAGACCCGTAGGCTCCTATGGACACTCCTACGTGTCTATAGTCTTCAACTCGTATATATAGACCCTCAGGCGCGTCGTCATCTCGTATATAATTAGACCCGTAGGCGCGGCTTTAACTCGCATATAGACCCGTAGGCTCGGCTTTAAAACGTGCGTAGACCCGACGAGTAGAAGCCTATGGACACTCCTACGTGTCTATAGTCTTCAACTCGTATATATAGACCCTCAGGCGCGTCGTCATCTCGTATATAATTAGACCCGTAGGCGCGGCTTTAACTCGTATATAGACCCGTAGGCGCGGCTTTAAAACGTGCGTAGACCCGACGAGTAGAAGCCTATGGACGCTCCTACGTGTCTATAGTCTTCAACTCGTATATATAGACCCTCAGGCGCGTCGTCATCTCGTATATAATTAGACCCGTAGGCGCGGCTTTAACTCTTATATAGACCCGTAGGCGCGGCTTTAAAACGTGCGTAGACTCGACGAGTAGAAGCCTATGGACACTCCTACGTGTCTATAGTCTTCAACTCGTATATATAGACCCTCAGGCGCGTCGTCATCTCGTATATAATTAGACCCGTAGGCGCGGCTTTAACTCGTATATAGACCCGTAGGCGCGGCTTTAACTCGTATATAGACCCGTAGGCGCGGCTTTAAAACGTGCGTAGACCCGACGAGTAGAAGCCTATGGACACTCCTACGTGTCTATAGTCTTCAACTCGTATATATAGACCCTCAGGCGCGTCGTCATCTCGTATATAATTAGACCCGTAGGCGAGGCTTTAACTCGTATATAGACCCGTAGGCGCGGCATTAACTCGCATATAGACCCGTAGGCTCGGCTTTAAAACGTGCGTAGACCCGACGAGTAGAAGCCTATGGACACTCCTACGTGTCTATAGTCTTCAACTCGTATATATAGACCCTCAGGCGCGTCGTCATCTCGTATATAATTAGACCCGTAGGCGCGGCTTTAACTCGTATATAGACCCGTAGGCGCGGCTTTAACTCGTATATAGACCCGTAGGCTCGGCTTTAAAACGTGCGTAGACCCGACGAGTAGAAGCCTATGGACACTCCTACGTGTCTATAGTCTTCAACTCGTATATATAGACCCTCAGGCGCGTCGTCATCTCGTATATAATTAGACCCGTAGGCGCGGCTTTAACTCGTATATAGACCCGTAGGCGCGGCTTTAAAACGTGCGTAGACCCGACGAGTAGAAGCCTATGGACACTCCTACGTGTCTATAGTCTTCAACTCGTATATATAGACCCTCAGGCGCGTCTTCATCTCGTATATAATTAGACCCGTAGGCGCGGCTTTAACTCGTATATAGACCCGTAGGCGCGGCTTTAACTCGCATATAGACCCGTAGGCGCGGCTTTAAAACGTGCGTAGACCCGACGAGTAGATGCCTATGGACGCTCCTACGTGTCTATAGTCTTCAACTCGTATATATAGACCCTCAGGCGCGTCGTCATCTCGTATATAATTAGACCCGTAGGCGCGTCGTCATCTCGTATATAATTAGACCCGTAGGCGCGGCTTTAACTCGTATATAGACCCGTAGGCGCGGCTTTAAAACTTGCGTAGACCCGACGAGTAGAAGCCTATGGACACTCCTACGTGTCTATAGTCTTCAACTCGTATATATAGACCCTCAGGCGCGTCGTCATCTCGTATATAATTAGACCCGTAGGCGCGGCTTTAACTCGTATATAGACCCGTAGGCGCGGCTTTAAAACGTGCGTAGACCCGACGAGTAGAAGCCTATGGACACTCCTACGTGTCTATAGTCTTCAACTCGTATATATAGACCCTCAGGCGCGTCTTCATCTCGTATATAATTAGACCCGTAGGCGCGGCTTTAACTCGTATATAGACCCGTAGGCGCGGCTTTAACTCGCATATAGACCCGTAGGCGCGGCTTTAAAACGTGCGTAGACCCGACGAGTAGAAGCCTATGGACGCTCCTACGTGTCTATAGTCTTCAACTCGTATATATAGACCCTCAGGCGCGTCGTCATCTCGTATATAATTAGACCCGTAGGCGCGTCGTCATCTCGTATATAATTAGACCCGTAGGCGCGGCTTTAAAACGTGCGTAGACCCGACGAGTAGAAGCCTATGGACACTCCTACGTGTCTATAGTCTTCAACTCGTATATATAGACCCGTAGGCGCGTCGTCATCTCGTATATAATTAGACCCGTAGGCGCGGCTTTAACTCGTATATAGACCCGTAGGCGCGGCTTTAACTCGTATATAGACCCGTAGGCGCGGCTTTAAAACGTGCGTAGACCCGACGAGTAGAAGCCTATGGACACTCCTACGTGTCTATAGTCTTCAACTCGTATATATAGACCCTCAGGCGCGTCGTCACCTCGTATATAATTAGACCCGTAGGCGCGGCTTTAACTCGTATATAGACCCGTAGGCGCGGCTTTAACTCGTATATAGACCCGTAGGCGCGGCTTTAAAACGTGTGTAGACCCGACGAGTAGAAGCCTATGGACACTCCTACGTGTCTATAGTCTTCAACTCGTATATATAGACCCTCAGGCGCGTCGTCATCTCGTATATAATTAGACCCGTAGGCGCGGCTTTAACTCGTATATAGACCCGTATGCGCGGCTTTAACTCGCATATAGACCCGTAGGCTCGGCTTTAAAACGTGCGTAGACCCGACGAGTAGAAGCCTATGGACACTCCTACGTGTCTATATAGACCCTCAGGCGCGTCGTCATCTCGTATATAATTAGACCCGTAGGCGCGGCTTTAACTCGTATATAGACCCGTAGGCGCGGCTTTAACTCGTATATAGACCCGTAGGCGCGGCTTTAAAACGTGCGTAGACCCGACGAGTAGAAGCCTATGGACACTCCTACGTGTCTATAGTCTTCAACTCGTATATATAGACCCTCAGGCGCGTCGTCATCTCGTATATAATTAGACCCGTAGGCGCGGCTTTAACTCGTATATAGACCCGTAGGCGCGGCTTTAAAACGTGCGTAGACCCGACGAGTAGAAGCCTATGGACACTCCTACGTGTCTATAGTCTTCAACTCGTATATATAGACCCTTAGGCGCGTCGTCATCTCGTATATAATTAGACCCGTAGGCGCGGCTTTAACTCGTATATAGACCCGTAGGCGCGGCTTTAAAACGTGCGTAGACCCGACGAGTAGAAGCCTATGGACACTCCTACGTGTCTATAGTCTTCAACTCGTATATATAGACCCTCAGGCGCGTCTTCATCTCGTATATAATTAGACCCGTAGGCGCGGATTTAAAACGTGCGTAGACCCGACGAGTAGAAGCCTATAGACGCTCCTATGTGTCTATAGTCTTCAACTCGTATTTACAGACCCGCAGGCGCGTCTTCAGTTCGTATATGAATCGATCCATATGCCCGTCTTCATTTTAGCTCGTCTATATATCGACCAGTTGAGCTGGCTTCTGTTCGTTTCTATGAAGACCTAGTGGCCTGGCTTCAGTTCGTCTATATCTAGACACATTGGGCTGGCTCTCGTTTATTTTTTCTATTCCCAACCCAAAGATGTTGCTCAAAATTTTGGCTACTGAATTCGAGAGAGGTCCGTCGGCCAAAATCACATGGAATGTTGTTGAAAGGGATTATGTTGCGACGTGCTGCAGTAACGTAGTCCCCAGCGAGTTCACTTATTCATTCGTAATGCAGCAACCGCCGCTTCAGAGAACTGCCCAACCCTTTTGATGGTCGGGTTGCAGAAATGATTTTCCGAAACTACATCACAGCTACAGAAGCTCGCTATACACCTGCTAGTCGAATACCCGAGATAAGACCAAACTTCCCAGCAGAGGCAGCGGGATTAGCAAACGAGCGTGATATCGACCACACCGAAAACGAAAGGGCGAAGCGAAGAGTACTACGTCATATCAGATCCCTTCCCGCCGAGGAGAAACCACCACAGTTTACGATGGGTGATGTTGCAAATGCAATCCGGAACGCTAAGTCATCCAAAGTGTGGGACACGGACGGAATCTCAATGGTAATGCTGCTGTATACATCGGCAGTCAAGTGCTTAACGAAAGTTCTCAACCTGTCGCTAGCCCACATAGTGCTGTCTAATCCACATAGTGCCCGAAACCTGGAAAATGGGCCGGGTGGTTCCGCTACTGGAGTCAGGCAAGGATGCCAGTAAAAGCGGCTCGTACAGGCCGATTTCGCTTCTGTCGCCGGTAGCGGAGAAAACCAAATTCGGCAGTTCACCACTTTCAGCCAAGCAAAGCAACTCTTTAGCTCTGTTGAGTCTATTTTCTTTCTGTTGCGCTGTAAGTTATTGCACTTTTTGGAATTTCAATGGCTTTACCCTGAGCTCATTTGTCAATATTTACCGAATGGAATATTGCGATATGTTCAGCTCATGAGCCATTTTTCGGCCACTGCGACGCGGATTTCGATTAGTTTGGTTCTTTACTTTTCGAACTATTTCTACTGATGTTGCTGATGAAAAGAAATCACACTATCACGCTTGAATTCTGTCACGAATAACTTTTTTCCTGGAAAATTCTCACCAAAATGCTTTTGTACACTTGTAAAGAAGGCATAATTTTAACAGCTGTCGGAGGAGTGGGGTTTCTGAAGTTGGTTGCAGTTTTTTCATCTCGCCCTGTACACGTACTACAGCTACAACAACAACATCAAACGATGATATGTTTTCGGAATCATCAATCATTCAGCCGCCAACCTTTTTTATTACGTAAAGGGCTAAACCGATGACGCTTCCTGGCCCATTTTACTCGTTAAAAGTGATCGGTAAAAAATCGGATAATTTCAGCATCGGCAAATGGATGTATGAGTCCATTGTTCGTCCCATTCTACTCTATGGAACTCTCGTCTGATGGCATTCCTTGAAGAAATCATCTTAATTACGGCATATTGACATTGACTAATAACGGGTGCCTTCAAGAGCACGGCCCACTAAGCATACACGTAGGGGAACAGGCAATTAGGTGTGCACTTCGACCAAGAGAACCAAACCTATGGCGTAGTCAATCCTTTGGACATTCTTGTAGGGCGTGTAAGGAATGTGGGAGTGAAAGCCAACACAAGTTATAATATTTCACCACGGTTGAGCTTTGACCCACCTGACATCCACATACCTGACGGGGACGCCTGGGCCCGTAACAATCCACTTTTCTGAGGCATAACTGTTTATACCGACGGTTCAAAGATGGAATGTTCGCTAATCATGTAAGCTTAAAAACAACTGTAGCGTATTACAGGCGGAAACCTTTGCTTTCAAAAAAAAACATATACTTTTTTGGTCACGAGGAACAACGAGGTTAGCAGTCCGTTGACTATATACGTCGATAGTCAAGTGGCACTGAAAGCCTTAAACTCGTCTACCATTAAGTGTTGGAGTTGTTTTGGACTGCAGGAGATCCCTGGAAAATACATGCTCTGTTGGGTTCCTGGTCATTACAATATTTCAGGCAACGAGACTGCAGACGAAATGGCTTGGCTATGGTCCGAATCAGCTACCATTGAAGTTGAGAACTCAGTCAAACCACCCCTGTGCCCCTTCCTAAAGTAATCCATAGACACGACTCTGAGAGAATTCAACAAAAATGGCTGGACGAAAGGAGATGCTGCAGCATCTCCCAAAGAATCCTTCCCACACTCTTGGAGAAAAGAACAAAGTCGCTACTGTCCTTGTCTAAATTTGATTTAAGACTTGTGGTGGGTATCATCACAGGTCACTGCCAGGTGAGGGCAATGACTACGAAATGGGACAGTGAAGATATAGACTGCTGTAGAATCTGTCAAGACGAAGAAGAAATTGAGCCAACTGTCCAGCACTCGTTAACGTGAGACACAGATTGGAGGAGGAACAGGTGTCACATGATTTGTCTTCGTCCTTTAACACTGACCCTACAGCAATTCTTCAATTAGCCAGAAAACTTAAGTGGTTAAAGACAACACGGCAAGATTTCTAGCCGTGGATCGCCCTTATAACTATATCTCCTATCACTTTTTTCCACCATTATTTCTTTCTTCCATTTTCTTCATTGGGATGAACACAATGGACCAGCAGGTCTCCGAGTGGAGCAGTTACCAAATGCTTTACTCATTGATGGTATTTGTCTATATTGTTTGTCCCGAGAAAGTGCCATTGCCATAATTTGTGAAGCTAAAAAGATAGGCTATCGTTATTTGCTTTGATTGAAAATCATTGTAGAATTAATAAGTTCGCAGCCAAAGGCACTGAAAAAATTGTGGGGTCGCACATCCCAATCTAGCGCTTATCGATTGACTTTCTCTGGTAGCCAGCAACAGCATTTGTGTAGGATAAACTTCCTTCATTTATTACTCTTGTAATCTCCAAAAATATCCACGAAACATTCACGTATATTTGGTAGACACTGAAAAAATTATTATTATCATCCACTGTTGTAGACTCCACCAAAAATAATATTTAAAGGTCCACTTTCATTCCTCAGATAATCCCCACAAATTTTATTTAGAAATATATGTGCTCTTTTTAAATCATTGAAATCTTGTGCTCACGAAAAACACGGTAACCCTATACTCCAATCGCCCAACACACTGAACATACCCCATAACATTGAATTTGACAATTCATATCTGTGAAAAACTGAACGTAAACCAACAAACAGAGAAAAAACAGAGAGGAAGGAAAAAATACTAGAAAATCTGGGAAAATACATAAAAAAATTGCAAATATCCTTAAAATAACAAAACGAAAAGCCCAAAAACGTGTAACAAAAGTGCAATATCCACAAAAAACAACAACTAAAACAATTCATTTACTAAACGCAATAAAAAGTTAACAGCTGGTGGAAAAATAAAAGAAAAAACAGAAAATCAAGAATGGATGTCATTAATAAATTCTATTCAACAGTACACACCACCGTTTCACAATTATCGGGTGTCCTGCCAGGAAACAACGTTACCCGAGAATATGAAGTGCTCGATCAAGTTTGCACAGCTGGGGTGGGTCTGCTGTGGAAAGTCTACAACGGATACAAGAAATCAACGAAACAGGAAGTGTCGGTGTTTGTGTTCGAAAAGAAAGCTTTGGACCGATGGTCCAAGGAGGACCGCGAAGCAATTCTAGAAACATTACGCAGAGGTGTACAACAATTGACAAAGATACGCCATCCTCATGTCTTGACGGTGCAACATCCTTTGGAGGAGAGTCGTGACTCATTGGCCTTTGCCACAGAACCAGTTTTTGCTTCCTTGGCTAATGTTGTGGGCGATCAAGTGAGGGCGGAAAAGAAACTCTACGATGTTGAGATACGCCATGGCCTGCTCCAGCTGTTTGATGGTTTGCAATTTCTACACAACGATGCCAAGATTGTTCATCGTAATATATGTATGTGCAGAAACAATTGTGATTATTAAGAATCGTAGCTGGAAATTATTTGGTTTTGATTTCTGTGTTGCCAATCAACCTCAGCCGGATGGTAAACCCTACTGACCAAGCAATGAATATTCGACATCTATGCATATGTTAGCCCAGCCAAGTTTGGAATATACGACACCGGAAATTGCCTTGAATAATATTAATTCTACGGATAGTGATCTGTTTTCTTTGGGTATTCTGATTTTTATCATCTATGCTGGAAAACCATTGAAACTATTCGGTTCGGACTATAGTGCATTTCGAAGGCATGCCAACGATTTGAATCAGCGCAAGTATCCACCCATGAATGCTGTACCCAGTCCTCATTTGAGGCCTAAGTTGCATGATCTTAAAGAGGTGAGGGAGGAGATGAATTTATGTAAAAGGTGTAGTAATGTTGTATGGAAAAAGTGTATTATTTTAGGACTTGATAACCATTCAGAATATGTTCTAAGGAATCCACCATAATGATTTTTATATTTCTTGAAAAATAATCTTTAATATTCCTGAGTTGAAGTTGTTTAATTTTTCCTCTTTTTCCATTTTTCAGGTAACCTATTTCCATGACGTTGGCGTGAAGACCCTTAGCTATTTAGATTCCCTCTATCAATGGGATAACTTACAAAAATCCAAATTCTACAAAGGCTTACCACAAATAATACCCACACTACCGCGTGTCAATCTCTATTCAATCCTACCATATTTGGTCAAGGAATTTGTCAATTCACCTATGCTCCCATTCGTTTTGCCCAATGCCTTGCTCATTGCCGAAATGAGTAGCCAAAAAGAATACTGTGACCATATCCTACCCCACCTAAAGCCAATATTTAAGATAACAAGTGGGTTTATAATGAATATATGTTGGGTGTACAATGTGTTCCTTTGTTTTGATAAGGCTGCAGTTTTTATATATAAACGAAGCCGACGAAAAATGTAATGGGATAATCATAATCAGAAACAGATTAAAATCAAACCAAAGAAATTTTACTGCGAAGCCACAATTCCGAAATTTGTGGTTATTCGTCCATACTTTCCGCCAAGCATATAATCAATCGCGTATACCTAGACCAGCTGCTGTGGCGGCTTCAACTTATCAATTTCTAGACCAGGTGGTGTGGCTGCTTCAGCTTGTCTATAAATAGACCTGCAGCCGAGACTTCATCTCGTCTATAAACAGATCCGCAGGAGCGGCTTCAACTCGTCTATAAATAGACCCTCAGGCGCGGCTTCAGCTCTTTCATAAATGGAATCCATGGCATGGCTGCAGCTCCTCTATGAATATACTCCTTGGCCTCGTCTATGAATAGCCTTCCAGAACTGGCTTCAGCTCGTGTATATATCGGCCAGTTGAGCTGGATTCTGTTCGTTTATATAAAGAGCAGCTGACCTGGCTTTAGTTCATTTATATTTAGACACGCTGGTCTGTGTTCGTCTAAAAACACTCCTTGTCCAACTATCTTTAATTTTGTTTTTTATTTATGTTCATATTTTATTAATTATTCCTTATATTTCAGACCCAAAGATGCTGCAAAAATTTTGGCTGCTGAATTGGAGAAAGGTTCATCGGGCAAAGTCACATCGCCTTCGAATGATGATGATATGTTTTCGAAATTTTCAATTAGTCAGCCACCAGTAAATAAGCCTAACAGTTCTACTTCAGCAATAACAACCAATCAACAAAACAACAAACCAAGAGAGCAGTTGAAGTAAGTAATCGACCCATATCGATTTGAATGTCAATATTAATATTTTTTTGTTTCTTCATCTAGGATCTCCCACAACAATTCGGCCACACCGGATATATTATCATCTCTAATGAATAGTGCCAATCCGTTGGTAATGAATCATCAATTACCACCACCTTCCACAGCGAACATGAGTACAACGGCTTCAACCACACCCATTAATAATTTCTCTTCATTGAATGATTTAGATCCATTTGAGGGCAATAAACAATCACAAAAAAAAAAACAACCCAAGTCTAGTTCAACAACAGCCAATTCATTTATACTGCAAAAACCAACGGTCGATTACATTTATCCACCCGGCTATAATGGCTAAAATCGTCAAAACACCGAATATCGGGGGCATCGTTATATGGGGGCTATACGAAATCGTGGACCTATACAGATGATCTTCCAGGGGATAAAGTACCTACAAGGAACTCCTTATGTGGAATTTCAGACAATTCCGTTGAAAAATGTGACTAGCATCATCAAAAAACAGAATATCGGTAGGTACCGTCATTTTGGGGGCTACACGAAGACGTGGACATGTATTCAAAGTTTTTTGTCATAGGCTGTAGTGCCCATTACGAACTTCAAATACGAAATTTGTTACAATTACGGTGAATAATGTCGCAAAAATCATGAAAATACGGAGTATCGGGAGGTACCGAAGACGTGGACCTGCACAGACAATTTTCTGTCTTAGGTTGTAGTACCCATTAGGATCTTCCAGTAGGAAATTTGAAACAATTCCGGTGAATAATGTTGCTGAAATCATCAAAATATCAAATATCGGGAGATATCATTAAATGGGGGCTATACGAAGACTTGGACCTGCATACAAATATTTTTGTCATAGGCTGTAGTACCTATTAGGAACTTCCAGTACGAAATTTGAAATGATTCCGGTGAATGATGTTGCTGAAATCCTCAAAATACCGACTTATGAATGTTTCGAGGAGATACAACGGGGAATAACAAAGTTAATATACCCTCAATAGAGTGGTGGGTGTACAATGTGTGTGTTTGTGAATCAGGGTAGTAGTAGTAGACTCCCTACAAATCCAAGTTTGTTGCTCTGGTAATCTCTAAAAAATCTAAGTTTACTACTCCGATAGATTCCCAACATGTCGTTTACAAATTCACGTGTACTACGCTGATGTGTCTTCAAAAAAAAAGACATAATACCCTGACCACCTTGTGGTGTAGGGTATAAATATATATCCCTCTTTTAATGCTTTGGTCATCTTCAAAAATATGCATAAAACATTCACGTTTATTGCTGCGGTAAACGTCCAAAAATATATTATTAGAATCCACGTTTATTGCTTGTTAGGCCACTAAAAATAACCCCTAGAGATCCACGTTCATTTCTTAGATAGGCCCCCTAAATATTATTTAAAAATATATTAATTTATTTTATTTTAATTAACATGTATTGTTTACGAACAACACGGTAACCCTGTATTCCAATTGCCTATCACACTGAACATACCCTATCAAATTATATTTGACAATTTATATTTGTGAAAATTTAAAACTGAACCGGCAGCAGCAAAAACTCGGAAGGAAGAAAATCGGGGTAAGTACATCAAATCATTTCAAATTTCGTTAAAATAATAAAGCGCCAAACTTCAAAAACTTTAGCAAAGTACAATAACCGCGAAAAAACAACAAAAACCATCAATTTCAAAACGCAATAAAAGTCAATGGCTGGAACAATTTTAAAAGCAGAAAAACAAGGATTGTTATTAATAAATTCTTTTCAAGCAACGAAACAGGAAGTTGGCGTTTGTGCTCTAATGTTGTGGGCGGAAAAGAAACTATGATGTTGGAATACTCCATGGCCTCCTCCATTGTTTGGTGGCTTGCAAATTTCTTCACAATTATGGAAAGATTGTTCGTCGTAATATTTGTGAAAGACAATTGTCATTAAAAAGAAATGTGTCGGAAAAAATGAATTGTCATGGAGAAATAATTGGTGTTGGATGAAATCAGACACAAAATCGCGAACCGGCAATTATGGGCATAATTGGTGAGTCCAAATTCCCACAAAATTTGAATTTTTGACAGAATTTTGTTTGTTCTTTCTTGACAGGAATCTATTAAACTGCCAAGTCCAATACAATATTGGCGATATGAAAGGATGTCATGTCCCACAAATTCGTACTATTTTTAATACCATGAAAATGGCTTAATCCTTGCTCAATTCAATACATTTGTTGCCTTGATCAAGGAAATGTTTGACCGGGGCGAAACAGAACAAAGGGAAAATTGGAACAATTATCCACAATACAAAAATATAACAAATGAGTTTATAATGAATTTTTATTGGGTGTACAATGTGTGTGTGTGCCTTTGTGAATCAGGGGATTCAGGGTTCAAGATCTAATGGGATAAACATAGAAACCCATCAACATAATATCGCACAGAAGAAAATCACAATCAAGGAAATTTTACATCAAACGAAAAACATGCATCGTCTATATCTAGACCAGCTGGCCTGGCTTCAACTCGTCGATATCAAGACCAACTGGTGTGTCGGCGTCAACTCATATATAAGTACACCCGTAGGAGCGTCTTCATCTCGTATATACTTAGACCCGTAGGCGCGGCTTTAAAACGTGCGTAGACCCGACGAGTAGAAGCCTATGGACACTCCTACGTGTCTATAGTCTTCAACTCGTATATATAGACCCTCAGGCGCGTCGTCATCTCGTATATAATTAGACCCGTAGGCGCGGCTCTAACTCGTATATAGACCCGTAGGCGCGGCTTTAAAACGTGCGTAGACCCGACGAGTAGAAGCCTATGGACACTCCTACGTGTCTATAGTCTTCAACTCGTATATATAGACCCTCAGGCGCGTCGTCATCTCGTATATAATTAGACCCGTAGGCGCGGCTTTAAAACGTGCGTAGACCCGACGAGTAGAAGCCTATGGACACTCCTACGTGTCTATAGTCTTCAACTCGTATATATAGACCCTCAGGCGCGTCGTCATCTCGTATATAATTAGACCCGTAGGCGCGGCTTTAACTCGTATATAGATTCGTTGGCGCGGCTTTAAAACGTGCGTAGACCCGACGAGTAGAAGTCTATGGACACTCCTACGTGTCTATAGTCTTCAACTCGTATATATAGACCCTCAGGCGCGTCGTCATCTCGTATATAATTAGACCCGTAGGCGCGGCTTTAACTCGTATATAGACCCGTAGGTGCGGCTTTAAAACGTGCGTAGACCCGACGAGTAGAAGTCTATAGGCACTCCTACGTGTCTATAGTCTTCAACTCGTATATACAGACCCTCAGGCGCGTCTTCATCTCGTATATAATTAGATCCGTAGGCGCAGCTTTAACTCGTATATAGACCCGTAGGCGCGGCTATAAAACGTGCGTAAACCCGACAAGTAGAAACCTATAGACGCTCCTACGTGTCTATAGTCTTCAACTCGTATATATAGACCCTCAGGCGCGTCTTCATCTCGTATATAATTAGACCCGTTGGCGCGGCTTTAAAACGTGCGTAGACCCGACGAGTAGAAGCCTATAGACGCTCCTACGTGTCTATAGTCTTCAACTCGTATATATAGACCCTCAGGCGCGTCGTCATCTCGTATATAGTTAGACCCGTAGGCGCGTCGTCGTCTCGTATATAATTAGACCCGTAGGCGCGGCTTTAAAACGTGCGTAGACCCGACGAGTAGAAGCCTATGGACACTCCTACGTGTCTATAGTCTTCAACTCGTATATATAGACCCGTAGGCGCGGCTTTAACTCGTATATAGACCCGTAGGCGCGGCTTTAAAACGTGCGTAGACCCGACGAGTAGAAGCCTATGGACACTCCTACGTGTCTATAGTCTTCAACTCGTATATATAGACCCTCAGGCGCGTCGTCATCTCGTATATAATTAGACCCGTAGGCGCGGCTTTAACTCGTATATAGACCCGTAGGCGCGGCTTTAAAACGTGCGTAGACCCGACGAGTAGAAGCCTATGGACACTCCTACGTAGGCGCGTCGTCGTCTCGTATATAATTAGACCCGTAGGCGCGGCTTTAAAACGTGCGTAGACCCGACGAGTAGAAGCCTATGGACACTCCTACGTGTCTATAGTCTTCAACTCGTATATAGACCCTCAGGCGCGTCGTCATCTCGTATATAATTAGACCCGTAGGCGCGGCTTAAACTCGTATATAGACCCGTAGGCGCGGCTTTAAATCGTGCGTAGACCCGACGAGTAGAAGCCTATGGACGCTCCTACGTGTCTATAGTCTTCAACTCGTATATATAGACCCTCAGGCGCGTCGTCATCTCGTATATAATTAGACCCGTAGGCGCGGCTTTAACTCGTATATAGACCCGTAGGCGCGGCTTTAAAACGTGCGTAGACCCGACGAGTAGAAGCCTATGGACACTCCTACGTGTCTATAGTCTTCAACTCGTATATATAGACCCTCAGGCGCGTCGTCGTCTCGTATATAATTAGACCCGTAGGCGCGGCTTTAAAACGTGCGTAGACCCGACGAGTAGAAGCCTATGGACACTCCTACGTGTCTATAGTCTTCAACTCGTATATATAGACCCTCAGGCGCGTCGTCATCTCGTATATAGTTAGACCCGCCTCGTCATCTCGTATATAATTAGACCCGTAGGCGCGGCTTTAAAACGTGCGTAGACCCGACGAGTAGAAGCCTATGGACACTCCTACGTGTCTATAGTCTTCAACTCGTATATATAGACCCTCAGGCGCGTCGTCATCTCGTATATAATTAGACCCGTAGGCGCGGCTTTAACTCGTATATAGACCCGTAGGCGCGGCTTTAAAACGTGCGTAGACCCGACGAGTAGAAGCCTATGGACACTCCTACGTGTCTATAGTCTTCAACTCGTATATATAGACCCTCAGGCGCGTCGTCATCTCGTATATAATTAGACCCGTAGGCGCGGCTTTAACTCGTATATAGACCCGTAGGCGCGGCTTTAAAACGTGCGTAGACCCGACGAGTAGAAGCCTATGGACACTCCTACGTGTCTATAGTCTTCAACTCGTATATATAGACCCTCAGGCGCGTCGTCATCTCGTATATAATTAGACCCGAGGGCGCGGCTTAAACTCGTATATAGACCCGACGAGTAGAAGCCTATGGACGCTCCTACGTGTCTATAGTCTTCAACTCGTATATATAGACCCTCAGGCGCGTCGTCATCTCGTATATAATTAGACCCGTAGGCGCGGCTTTAACTCGTATATAGACCCGTAGGCGCGGCTTTAAAACGTGCGTAGACCCGACGAGTAGAAGCCTATGGACACTCCTACGTGTCTATAGTCTTCAACTCGTATATATAGACCCTCAGGCGCGTCGTCATCTCGTATATAATTAGACCCGTAGGCGCGGCTTTAACTCGTATATAGACCCGTAGGCGCGGCTTTAAAACGTGCGTAGACCCGACGAGTAGAAGCCTATGGACACTCCTACGTGTCTATAGTCTTCAACTCGTATATATAGACCCTCAGGCGCGTCGTCATCTCGTATATAATTAGACCCGTAGGCGCGGCTTTAACTCGTATATAGACCCGTAGGCGCGGCTTTAAAACGTGCGTAGACCCGACGAGTAGAAGCCTATGGACACTCCTACGTGTCTATAGTCTTCAACTCGTATATATAGACCCTCAGGCGCGTCGTCATCTCGTATATAATTAGACCCGTAGGCGCGGCTTTAACTCGTATATAGACCCGTAGGCGCGGCTTTAAAACGTGCGTGGACACTCCTACGTGTCTATAGTCTTCAACTCGTATATATAGACCCGTAGGCGCGGCTTTAACTCGTATATAGACCCGTAGGCGCGGCTTTAAAACGTGCGTAGACCCGACGAGTAGAAGCCTATGGACACTCCTACGTGTCTATAGTCTTCAACTCGTATATATAGACCCTCAGGCGCGTCGTCATCTCGTATATAATTAGACCCGTAGGCGCGGCTTTAACTCGTATATAGACCCGTAGGCGCGGCTTTAAAACGTGCGTAGACCCGACGAGTAGAAGCCTATGGACACTCCTACGTGTCTATAGTCTTCAACTCGTATATATAGACCCTCAGGCGCGTCGTCGTCTCGTATATAATTAGACCCGTAGGCGCGGCTTTAAAACGTGCGTAGACCCGACGAGTAGAAGCCTATGGACACTCCTACGTGTCTATAGTCTTCAACTCGTATATATAGACCCTCAGGCGCGTCGTCATCTCGTATATAATTAGACCCGTAGGCGCGGCTTAAACTCGTATATAGACCCGTAGGCGCGGCTTTAAATCGTGCGTAGACCCGACGAGTAGAAGCCTATGGACGCTCCTACGTGTCTATAGTCTTCAACTCGTATATATAGACCCTCAGGCGCGTCGTCATCTCGTATATAATTAGACCCGTAGGCGCGGCTTTAACTCGTATATAGACCCGTAGGCGCGGCTTTAAAACGTGCGTAGACCCGACGAGTAGAAGCCTATGGACACTCCTACGTGTCTATAGTCTTCAACTCGTATATATAGACCCTCAGGCGCGTCGTCGTCTCGTATATAATTAGACCCGTAGGCGCGGCTTTAAAACGTGCGTAGACCCGACGAGTAGAAGCCTATGGACACTCCTACGTGTCTATAGTCTTCAACTCGTATATATAGACCCTCAGGCGCGTCGTCATCTCGTATATAGTTAGACCCGCCTCGTCATCTCGTATATAATTAGACCCGTAGGCGCGGCTTTAAAACGTGCGTAGACCCGACGAGTAGAAGCCTATGGACACTCCTACGTGTCTATAGTCTTCAACTCGTATATATAGACCCTCAGGCGCGTCGTCATCTCGTATATAATTAGACCCGTAGGCGCGGCTTTAACTCGTATATAGACCCGTAGGCGCGGCTTTAAAACGTGCGTAGACCCGACGAGTAGAAGCCTATGGACACTCCTACGTGTCTATAGTCTTCAACTCGTATATATAGACCCTCAGGCGCGTCGTCATCTCGTATATAATTAGACCCGTAGGCGCGGCTTTAACTCGTATATAGACCCGTAGGCGCGGCTTTAAAACGTGCGTAGACCCGACGAGTAGAAGCCTATGGACACTCCTACGTGTCTATAGTCTTCAACTCGTATATATAGACCCTCAGGCGCGTCGTCATCTCGTATATAATTAGACCCGAGGGCGCGGCTTAAACTCGTATATAGACCCGACGAGTAGAAGCCTATGGACGCTCCTACGTGTCTATAGTCTTCAACTCGTATATATAGACCCTCAGGCGCGTCGTCATCTCGTATATAATTAGA